GTAAGGTCGATGTACCATGAAAAGCGTAGGACTTTCCATCGGTGACACGACCCTTCGCTTTGCCTGAAGGTAAAGCGAAGGGCCATAAAAGGTGAGCGGACAGCCGATCAGTTTTCGTTTGCTTCGATCGGCAACCAGGTAATCCCACGGCGTTGTTTGACCTCATAGAAAAAAGCTACTATTATTATTTATCTGGTGTACTGCAATTGCTGCTTTAAATAGCAATAGAGAGATATTTAAATATTTATCCATATAAATAATTTTGTTTTACCTATATAATGGATGAGAAAAGAAAGAGTAAATGGACTCTCTCGATATTTAAAATATTTGTAACAAAATCAGTAAATGAGAGTCAAGCGCTGTATTCGTGTGCAAAGTCATATACATTTAATACATAAATTAAGATCTTGAATATTGCGGATACAATTCGTGTCATCCTCAACGTATAATCATTCCCATGCTTCCGCGTGTCAATTAAAGCCAAGTCGTCACTCTGGCACCATTCTTAATAATTCGTAATAATCACAAATTACGATGGATTATTAAAAATGACATCTAAAGTGACTTGATTCTGGTCCGAGAGCGTGAAAGTTATAATGATTATTCGCTGAAGATGGCGAATTATAGTAGGGCTCTAATTTTATTCCTTTTTGCGAAGATATGTGTAAACGTAAAACGTTTATCCGTTTACATTAGCTTTCAAAAAAACGTTTATTTGAAGGTAAACGTTTACACGTTTAATTAGCATATCCGTTTATAAAAGAAACATTTTTCCGAATATATACGTGTTTTATTATACATTTAAACGAAAATACATTTACATGTATATTTAACATATCCATCTATGAAAAACATCTTTTCGAATATTTTAACGTTTTTTAATAAAATTAAAAATCGAATTTTTTGCATTTTCTCAATTCGTCACATTCCTTAATAAAGGGATAAACGTTTATATAGAAAAAGTGAAAATATTCGGAAAAATGATTCTAATAAACGGATATACCAATTATACGTGTAAACGTATTTTCGTTTAAACGTATAATAGCGAGCCCTAAATTATAGCCGAAACGTTCGAGATTTTAATTTAAATATTAAATATATATGAATCTTGCGCACGAAATATAGCACCTGATATTCATTTGATTTTGTTGTAAACTATATTTTGCATGAGATTCTGTACATTTGTTTCTTTTAATTAAATAACGACGTTTATGGCGTTTATGCGAAATAAAGAAAAAAAAACGAAAGTATAACGTTAATTTTACAAATACAAAGAATACGTAAATAAAGAATATGTAGATGTATGTGTAGATGAGGAGATAAGAAAGTCCCAAAATAGGAACAGGGAGAAGAATGAGATCAGTCGATCATCAAGAAGAAAAGTTATACAATTTACCAAATACCGTTCATGCAAATTACGTCGGTGCCCCGTGAACTCGGCGTGATACGAAAACTTACTTCCGAAGACGATGGCGGTTAATTTCGGTAAGCGAACACGAAAGTTGGTAACGATATTCGTCTAGATAACGTCGAGCAGAAAACCTCGTTGTCATAAATAATGGACGTCAATCGAAGTAGAGATCCGTAGAACCGGCGAACCGAATATTTATTTATTTGTTTAGCCATCTGTTAACAAGAGCAATTATTTGTTGAAAACGCAAGTAGAATGTATAAAAATATCGGATGTAATGTGAACGTGTAATACCAATTGTAATGTAAAGAATAAAATAGTAGAAGGGAGAGAAATTTTCAGACTATTAAACTTTTGTCAGTTGAATTAAAGCGAAACAAGATCAGGGACGCGTTGTATTGTCTAAATGTCTCGAAGAGCGAGAGCGATGCAGATACGGAACGGTCCGTTGTGTTGAAGGAGAGCACGAACAAAAGCGCGACGGCGGTATTTTTTCTTTTTTTCCTATTAAATAACCGAGCCCACTGCCACATCAGTCTCCGGGGATAAGATTCATAACCGTAAAGCGGCTTAACATTTGTCCACGGTGAAACGCGCTGGATTTCCATGGTGGGACGAAGGACTCCCAATACATTTCCGCCATTCTGTTCCAGCCGGTCTACTTCAATTTCAACGTTGCATATTGCATAGGATAGCTGAGCTACAATATTCGCGAAACATTGTTTAACGTAGTGTATGAATACATATCCAATTATACAGAATACTTTTGTAAAATTTAATTTTCCACAAATATAATTATATTCTCGAGAATGCGCAAACATAATTTGTATCTCATCCGGTAAAGAGATCCCTTTCTCATTACTCATTTCGCATTTTGCGGGAGAACTGCTTTAATGTGAGAGACTTTTCAGTCACATAAATATGGGAAACCCAGCAAGTCTAAGGGTTAGATATACGCTCGCGAGAGATTAAGGACTATAGACAGAGTGAAGCCTGAAAAACCGAGGGTTCTTTGGGAATTTTTTTTTAATATATACTAAAGTCAGGTAATTTTGTTTTATGGTGTCTTTATTCTATCAGTACTGAAACATGTAAAAAAATTTTGTTTGTCTCGGTTACTAATTAAGGCTATTGTACAAAGTAACCTTGAACAGTTACTTTTGCCTCGTTGACAATGAATCGATCATATGCGCTGTCTGAAACAAAAAAATAAAAAATTATGATAGTAAAAAATGAATATAGCTATAACTGGACGTAGGGAAATTACGAAATTGCAAAAAGTAACAAAATGGCGGACATGAATCTTTTTTTTAATTTGGCCTTTTTTGTTACAAAAAGGTTGAATAAAATTGTGAAATTTTTATTAATGAAAAAACGGCTACGTTCGACGATAAGTTTTCTAAATAAAATGCAATTTACACCAAGTCAATAGGTCCAGTAGATTCTTTGATTTGCTATCAACTAGGTTGAAAAAAATGATTTTATGTTTTGAAAAACGCGTTTGAAGATTTACTTTCAGATTACTATATGTTAACTGAATATTAAATTAAAAATTTAAATTACTTACTCTTATTCGGCAATCTCTGGATCATATAATAGCTCTTCCGCATCTAAAACCGCTTCTTTGTCGATGCCAGAAGCAGTTCTAGCGTTTAAGCGACTTTCATGCGTAGGCCTGTCGCTCAGCGATACGCACGCGTGCTTCGTCTATATAATGACAAAAATCATACATTGCTCGGCCAATTTGAATTCGTAGAAGCTCCAATACATTTAGAAGTACGACATGACCATTGTTAAATAATATTGTAGCGACATTGGCGGCAATTTAGACGATGAGGGTACCGCTGAATAGTGACTTAGGTGTGATTTTCCTAATAACTTGATTGAAGCTTTCATTATTTTTATTACAATTGAATATACTTTTCCCCCTTTCTATACCCTAACAAATGGCCCCTCGTGCAATTCGGAGAAGATCGAATTGGTGCGCCGCTTATACCTGCGCTTTCGTGCTCCATCGCGCTTCATCGTACAAAAACTGCTCCACGAAAACTGCTGTATCTCCGTCAATTTTCCGAATATCTCTTTAAAACTTGGTATATGTATTCTCGATACGTATATTTTTCAAAATATTACAAAATTAAAAAATCGAATTTTTCCCCTGTTTTTAGACCTTAAGAAAACCGAGAGTCTGGAAGGGAAAATCTCGAAAAATTTATTTAGACGAGACTGTGCCGCGGTTGAAATCTGCACGTTACAAAACTAATAACGAGAGCGACATAAAACGACTCCGATATTTGAAATTATGAAATCTGCTCGCCCAAGTACAGAGAAATTCAGAGAGAAAATAAAATATGGATATTAAGGCGATGAGGGCAATTACGAAGCACCGAAGCTCTTTAATGATTATTAACGAGCGCGTGATGATCGTAGCGGGTTGGGAAACGCTCCGGTGCGCAACCTGACACGCGGTTACGGATGAAACGCGATGTTTAAAGTTTTCCTAGACGGTTGACAGGAGACAGGACGCGAGTCCGAGGTCGCGTGCCATTCAACCCCCCGGCGAGGAGAAAGGGGAAATGACGATGTCGTGTAAGAAGCGTGAAATTTATCCGTGCTTGCGGGACGAGTAGCAATTGCAGAGTCTTGTCGCCGCATAGGACACGCATAGGAAGCCGGCGGTAGAAGAAAGAAGTAGAAAGAGAGGTCGGGCGAGAAAATGCGACGGAAACGAGGACGCGAAATGCAGGAAGAAAAATTCGGAACGGCAGAGCTCCGCGACGTGGCGCGACGCGAAGCGGAGCGGAGCGGAGCGCGCAAAGCCGTAGTGCAGGGATGGAGAAGACGCGCGACGGAAAAGGCAGAAGGCCTCGAGGAAGGAGGAGGCTGACTGATCGCCGCCGGAGTAGAGGAGAGAGAGCACGCCTGCGCGGAATCCCCGGGCGGGCGCGGGCAGTGCCACCGGAGGCCCGGCGGTTTCAGAGCTTCGCCCGGGACGACGAACCGCGGACGAGCCGAGTACGGGAAACCCGGTCGCGTTTCACAGTACGACCGACCGATCCACACCGAGTATACCGTACGTCCGTACGACGAGGGGTACAGCCGCGGGGTAAAAGAAAGGGAGGTGGGGAGGGAGGTGGCCCGATTGCACGCAGGCAGACCGCTTCGTGACCTTGGTGCGCGCGACACTTTACGTCTTCTTCGGGAGTAATAAAGAAAAATTTAATCGGTATCTTTTGCAACCAGGATCTGATACAAGGAGGTGTACGGTGAACCCCGCGCGCGAGACCGCCCACAAATTAGACCTCGTACCTCGGCTTCGTTCCGTCGCTTGCAATCGCGAGTATCCGACGAGATAATGTGATATCAGAGTGTTTTAAAAGAAGAAAGAGAAGGGAAGTCGAAAAGAGAGTAAAGGAAAATCGGTGGATGCACAACAAGAGCGCAACGGGGGGGTTGCAACGAGAGGGTTGCAACGACGGGTAAGGCGGGAGTATGCGCGGGTCCTGGTAGCACCGGCTGCTGTTGGAGGATGAACGGGACGACGACGGAGGATTATTAAGTGGAGGAGCGCCGAGAGAAAGAGGTGCATCGCGGTGTTCCATGAGATGTCAGTGGACCCGTTATCGGGGACAGTTACGCCGTCGTCGTCGTCGTCGCCGTTGTTGTTGTCGTCGTGATCACCATGAGGAGGTCCTCCTACGTCAACTATTACGTCCTGTGCCTCGTGTGCTGGATCCTACTAGGCATTACCGGTAAGCCTCATTCACGGGGAGATCACACGGCTTGTCATACAGCTAAAAAAAAACATACATTTCCACTGTGACGCGGATCCATGAAACAGATGGCGGCATCGAGATATCAGGTCGAGGCTCCGAGAGGAAGATGCTGTCAGGGGGGATGCTGTAAATAGCGATTACTCGATTCATGCGGTACACGTAGATAGATGGGTGGTGATCGAATTATCGAACATCATCGTACAATTTACGAGGAGGCGGGGCTCTCATGGAACTCGTGCCGCGGATGGATCGATCAGATTTTGGGGTGTAGCAGTACGTTGCATATCCTCTCCCTCGCGCCCCGCATGCACTTACGAACGTACGTACCGCGCTCGTGCGCGTTTCTCCCGCTGTCGCGAATACCGGCAGATACCGAGTGTAGAGATCATACAGAAGGGGGAGGATCGAGAATACGCGAGAATAGATAAGGACTACAAAGGACGGAGACGACTAAGGGGGGAGGACGCAACCTCCGGTCCCGGTCCAGGACCGTATCTAGCGCCACCCTTGTTTGTCGCGCCGCAGCATTGTGCCTCCCTCCACACTTGCTCTCTCTCTCTCCCCCCCTCCCCCTCTCTCTGTCCCCTTTTCTGCTTTTCTTTCTCCCCTTCACACTCTCGACATCCTCCTCTTTGTCCACCTCTCTTCCACCTTGCGTCTCTGCGGGATCAGCAGCGTGTCGTCTCGATGATTCCGTCATCACGGGACGAAGACGAGGAGAGAGACGAACGCGTCCCCCCTTTCCTCCGTCGTTCAGGGACGTGTCTATCGATTTCATCTCGCGCGGCTGCATCACCGCGATGCGGTCGTGCTTTAAAACCTGCTGAAACAGAAGCGTCACGGCGTCGTTCTGGAGAGTGCACTCATGTATTCTGCAAATTACATGTTATCCGCGAGAGATAACCTAGCTACTGTCGAGACATCTCAGTAGGAGGAAACTGGGTGATTTTTGCATCTCTTCTTTAAACATGAGTTTGATCCAATCTTTTGGAAGCGGAAAGCTCTCTCGAGTAGCTTGTAAGAAACATCAATTTCCAGTAGAACTGTTCCTCTTGAATGTAACTCGCCTTTGATTGTAGAATTCAGTCTATTATGAATCATAAAAGATAAGCTCTTCTTTCGAGTGAAGAGCGGAGATCTCTTTCTCCGACGGGAAGAAACGAGAGGCCAACTGTAGGATTACCTTTTGAAAGCGATTTCCCGATTGAACAGACGACGCGAATATACGATTCCGCTAAGCGTATCAGCGTTTAACCGCGATGACGCAATCATTCGCAAAGAAGTATCTGACGCGTTTCGGGTCGCTTAAAGAATGATCTCGCTCCGCAAGCCTGCCTCTTCGGTGGAGGCGTGATCAATTTCTGGGAGCAATGGAGCACGAGCGGAAAATCCGAAGCGCCGATCAAATCGGATTATCGCCGTCGAACTCGTCTGTGTTCGTAGGCGCGGAAAAAAACGTCAACTACGACTGTCGGTCGATGCAATTGGTTTGCACGGTCGTTCGTCGAATAATTACTCTTCGAGCTCTTTGCCTCAGGATCGGTGTAGTTTGGTTCGCTTTCCCCGCTGGCAGTAAACCACTTGGAAAGTATGCTAACTGCTCTCGACTACGAGAGATACTATGAGGAGTTCGTATAGTTTCAGACCTGGTAATGGCGGGTTTATCCCGACATCACTCTCGCCGATACATTATGCACTTTCGATCCGTATAGTACCTACTTGCACACAAACGCGTATAGTGGAGGAGTGCGCTACACAACCGCTGATTATACTTCGCCACGGTGATTAACCGCTCGTTCCCCCAGAAACGGAGAAGTTCGACGTGCCTATCATCGCGGCTGGTGCAACTCGGGGCGTAACTACTGCCTTGAGAGATGCTCCTCACACGAAACCGCGCTCCTAGCACTTATGAAGATTTCTCGACACATAAAATAAATTTGAGGACCGTGATGCAACTTCAACGAGTTCGCAGGCTTCGCTGAAAGCGTTCAGGAAATTGCATCCGTCAGAAACTAATCAAATGAACTAACACACTTTCTAGTTAATTCTCAGTAATAGATTTTATATCGGTATTATATAAAACTAAATTAAGCGTAGAACGAAAAAGAATATCGTACATGCGTTTCATGTCTTCAATTGGATCTCATCGTAGGGAAGAAGAATCAGAGGGACCTCGCAGAGATCCGTGAGTCTATTTCGTAAGTCCGTGTGTGTCGTGTGGGAATTATTATAAAATCATATCACGTCGGTAAGAAATAATCCTCCAGAAGCTAAAAAACTGAGATTTATGTGGTAGTTTAGCACACGATGACGTCGTAAAACTGCACGGGCATGCGTACGTGTTGTTCTGACAAAGTGGGAAAGGAAACAGCAGCCCTGCCGGACGCGGCTCGAGTCTCCTCCATACATCGGATGGCATTGTCTCTCGGGAAATATACGATTTTAGATCCGCCTTCTGTTTCCGAGAAATTTACTTCTTCCGTGCTCCCTCCGCCACCCGCGATCACGTCCCATCACGCTCGATTACGCGGCAGGGAGACACCTTATCGCGACTTATTGCTGCGTGAAGCGGAATAGATTTATAAAGCACAATACTTCCTCAGATTTTTATAATAGTTTTCATACCTTGGCAGACACTCTTGGAAGATGCCACTTCTATCATTTTACTCTAACGTTTCCGACCGTAGCGGGTTTGACCCAAAATAGGTTGGATTAATGACTGTTATTGAGCATATAACGTTATTAATCCAACCCATTTCGGTCTGTTCAAATCCGGTAAAAAAACGTTATAACATTCTTTTTATTCAGAACGCCGCAAAGTCATGCCTCGATAGAAACGATGATCGAAACGATTCTACTTCGCTCTCCCCTTCGTATCTTTTTATACCTTCGGAATGGCAAACGGTCTATTTTCTCTTCAACGCCCTCTTAAATAATACACAACCGAGAATATCGTGTCGTCGTCCGGCTTTTACCGGAATCTCCGAGACGAACGTGATTTCCACGCATCCCTCGGGAATTGTGGGAGCGGCGCAAACCGACTTACAAAACGTCGACATGAATAATGCAGACGCCAGTCGTCCCTCGTATTTATGTCCAGCGCCTATCGCGATAAACCTAAGCTCTTTCAGTTATTCATCAATGAGCTTGCCCTGGTGCGTTACATTGCGAAATTACTGCTTCACGTCGACGTACGTCTCGCCGCGATAAAACGCGTCAACTCTCCTTCCTTTACTCAAGTGCTCCTTTGCCTGATTTAATCTCGAGATAAATGTGACTGTATTACGCACCCCTGAGGAACGAGATCGCGCGACCTTTGCGCAACTCGCCGCACGACATGAAAAATAGGTTCGGGGCGGCATAGACAGCATCTAGCGAGCGCCTATTTGTGCCCCCTTTCGTGGTAAGCAAATGATCCCAACTCGGTGGCGAGGGTACAATCTCGCGACGACCGACAGGGGCGCGTGCGCGCAGCTGCGCAGATTTTACGTCCCTCAAGATCAAGAGGACTGTGTACAGGAGGTTGGTAGGCAGCCCCCAGACATGAATTCGTATCTCCGGCACATTTGACAATACACCACTCGTAGCCGCGCACTGATTGGCAATCTACCTCTCTCTCGGTTTGCACGGAAACGTGTCGACCGGATGGATTTGTCGGCTATGGAATCACGGGGATGCAGTTACGACGTTTCTAGGACAATGTAATTTCGAATCTGGGATGGAGGAAGACGTTTTTATCGCGGCGGTTTTTAACCGCGAATGATGATCAAAATCACCGATCGCTTTCGAACATTATACGGATCGTTGCGATAAAAACAAATAGAAATCTGAAGAAGATTTAACTTCAGAACTTGATTTTGCCATCTTTTGTTTGAATTTTTATTCGAAAAGAAAACGGAAGGTTTTATTCCCTCTTAAAATCGAATAAAAAATAGATCGATAAAAATCCTTGCCACCATTGTTTACTTTAGCTCGTCGATCAGTCATTAAGATTAATTTTTGATTCATTACTCCGCATTTAGTTTGACTGAAATAATAATTAGCGCCGTTGCAACGGCAGTGATTTTCATGCGCATAAGTAGAACAATCGATGTGCGATAAAACCGTACTGTGTGGAGTGAGGTTTGCCTGTACAGGCGATTTCATATTTACTCCTTATCTCGTCGCGCCTTTATCATGCTGCTGATCTTAATTAAGCGTAATTATCACCAGCTTTGTCGTTTGTCAAAGTTTCGGCGAATCTTGATAGCACAACGATATATGCTCGTTTCTTGCTCGAGCGCCTTCGCGGAATTAACAGCATCAGCTATAAACACGATTCTGCTAATTAGTAAAATAATTAGTCGCATTTAGTCAACAGATCAAAGTGAAAGGTAAAAGTAAGATAAAGTAACGGCCATAAAATGTACTCCGAGCGATAAAAACAACTTGGAGCAATTTATTAATTAGCGTCTTAAACGTTTCAGTCTGACTCCTCTATACATAAAATATTCCTTTGTCCTAATTGAGGTTTCCACTCTTCGCACTTAACTGATGGTGGAGCGAGCATTCCTCAAATTATGGTCACCGCAACTGCCGTGCAAATTCGGATGAGCGTCGGTAGGATTTTATGCTCTACCGATAGAACCTTAAGATCGGTTCTTTCCCTCTTTCCCCTTGAATGCTGATCCGTCTTTAGATTTCCCAGATCGAAATCCCTGGGATTAGTATCCATTTCCCCCGGGCACGGCACCTCGGTGAGGTTCTACTCCACGATAGGATTTATTCCGAATAGCGCCGCGAGCGAGCGAATACGGCACACGAATGCGAAATAGTCCCTTCTCCGAGGTCTGATTCGCCTTATTATTCCATTGCGACGGCTAACATCGCTACCTCCATGTTAATTCGCCGCATAACGTGCCGACGATGCGGCGACGCTAGGAGTTATACGGACGTTTTAAAGACGCGTCATCGCGATAATTCGGGTATTTCACGCGTTCGCGACGTATTGTATTTTAGCAAAGAATATACATTTCCGTATTCTCCGCATTGCGCCGTTTTTTCCCTCCGTCTCCGTGATCGCATGTAACGGCACCACCGTGACACACGCGAGACATTTTTCTGAACACGTTCTTTCAGGGGTAAGTACGAGATCTCATTCGCTGGTGAAGAGATTCGACGGGATTTACACGGGGCCTTACTTCGACTCAAACACTCCAACGAATATCACGGCGCAGTTGGGCACTCATGCTTACCTACCGTGCAAAGTGCGGCAGCTTGGTAACAAATCAGTAAGTTATCTGATATCATATAATAGGTCTGTTTTTTTTTATTCCTGCTAGACACTAGAATCTCTTTCTCGCTTTCACCAAATATCAAACATTTTAATATCTCATTTTAAGTTCCAAAAGTGTATACTAGTTCAGCCGCAGAAAGAAAACAGACCTAATAACGAAGTTTCGACATAAAAAAGGCTGTGAGCGCCAAGAATGAAGAGAGCGCTCTCTTCTCGGAGAACGAGCGAATATAAGAAAAATTAATCTTAATTACGTGAGACGCTCACGGCAATTTTTATATCCTATATAATTATATCCATTATAATTAATCCTCAAGTATTAAGGATGTTGTAATTTCATATACGAGTATATCAATACGACTGTCATCGCGCTGTCGATTTGATCTAATTTATCCTTGTCATAGTCTCCCGCATCTCTGATAGAAGTTGCCTTACGCGTTACATGTATTGACAACTTGATTTATTAACGATCATATTTGTCAAATAATAATAATAGCCAAATTCCTACGTGACAGTTACGACAATGATACTCCATCTGACATAATGACAACATTAAAAAAAATACAAGAAAAAATTGTTAAAACTGAGTCGAGGAGATAATTTCCTCGCTTTCAATCTCTCTTGAATACACTGAAAAAAAAAAGATTTGTTATCATAATTTAGCTCAATTATGATAGTGATAGTTACTAAATGTTTTAATGAAGTTTTAATTAAATGTTCGGTTAATATAACCAAGAAATTCAATAACTATTACTAAATAGTTTAACCGAAATTTAGAAATTGTTAATAAAGCTGGATGATTATTACCAAATCGTATAGATAAATATGATCAAACAAATTGGCAAATATGTGTAGTTAAATTGCTTATTTACTAATAAATATCGAATAACATGGTAGATATTACTAAATTTATCATAAATATCAAATAATTTGTTTTTTAGTTATTTGATTTAATGAATATAACCACATTGTTAGGTAATTATTGTATGATTTGATAACAATTATCGTATTTATTTCGTTCGAAATTAGTAACAATTTGCTATTACACTCAGAGAAAATGACGTAAGATATGTTCTTTTTAGCTGAATTTTTGCATAGTTCATCTTTTTTCTTTTTCTCTCTCTAATGTGAAAAGAAAAAGAGGAAAGATGAAATTCAGTTAAAAAGAACAAGCTTACAGTGTTGGCGTTTATATATATATAACTACTTGCCTGAGCTTTTGTCATATAGACTTGGTTGTATAGAAAGCTCAACTAAATTTTACATGAGAATTTTACATTTAAGTGGCAGTCCTAGAATATCCTGACGGATTATATAATATTTTTAGGTGCTTATTTGCATCAAATAATCTGATAACTATTATCAAGTCAATTAATAAATCTTTGTATAATTTGATCATAATTATCACACATTCGATTAATATTATTAAATAATTTGGTTTTAAGTACCTAAATTATTTAACTGGACCAACTAAATTAATTTTAATTTTCTAAATATTTAATAATTATTATCAAAATATTATTATTAAGTTCAATAATACTCATTAAATATTGCGCCAATATAATACATTTAATATATACACAACAAAATACATTTAATAATTATTATTAGATTTCTTCCTCAGTATATTATTCCGTTATTCACGCGCGAACAAGTTAATCTACACGCATGCGTCCATTCGGCTTTATTTTATTATTAACGACGAACTACCGGATTACGATCAACACATCAAACCGAAGTCCGGAGTTATGTCCGTTATCAATCATTCGTTTCACTAATGTTCTGAAAATCGCCGACCTTGGACAACAATTATTTCTATCAAAGGTCCACAGATAATAAAAGGTCGTAACTAATATATTTCAACCGTTATCGCGTTCTATTTCCTTCATGTCGGATAACTGTCGGCGACAGATAACCCGCCCACGTGTCACGAGCTGTTAAATCGTCCTCCACGACAGGCATTCCCTTTTATCGAATCAATTCATCCCGTTAATAAAACGCCAATCTGCTAATGATTCGCGGTTTATTCCGCTTTCTTTCATTAAGGTCTATTCGCGTTGCTTGTATTTTTTGCACTCAACATCTTCTTTCTCTCTCTTTAACGTCAGAATATTGATCATATCTTTAACGTCATATATTGACCGGTATTCATAATCCGTTCTTATTTTAAGACCGTCTTAAATAACGTCTTAAGATGCTAATACGGTTCTCTAATTGGTTCATAACATATTAAGACTGTACTTAAGGCGGTATTAAATATAAGAACCGACTATGAATACCGGTCATTGATCTCCTTTTAAGTGCAAAAATTTCAAGCAACGGAGCGAAGGGGTGATTTCGCGGAATGTCTATCGTCATTGGGCGCGTAATAAAATTATCGTCGGCACGCGCGAGTCTTGAAGGTAGCCCCCGTGTCTTTCGTTAACGAACTTTACCAAACACACAGGCGTACTCGTCGTACCCTGGATTGTACGGAATATCCGTCTGTCGCCGTTGGCACGTGGACGAGGACTAAGTATCCGGTAACACGCGACCCGCGCGTACTTGAGAGGCCCGCGGTCGCCGTCGCCACTGCCTCGATCCTTATCGACTGGTGAATTAAATGTATTCGTACCTCGCCTTCTTTCGACGCAGTAACGTAGTTCGCGGCACCATCTAGATTTCCGTCGGGCGCGCGCAAGCCGTCCGGTCGATGAACGATAAATTAACTGCGACGGGAGAATGGAAGATTGATCGTCCGGAATCGGAACGAATCGAATGTTCTCATTCTTACTTTTCTTTCTGCTGTTTTTTTTTTCATCGCTGTATCTCTCTTCTGATTCTTATTCTTGACAGAACTTTCTTTTTTTACGCGCCTCGATTTCATCCGTCTCTCGAGACTCTCAATCCAATCAGTTGCGAATAATGGCTCGCGATAATCCCGGTGATTCTGACATCAAGCTAATGAGATTAAAAGGAACGGTAAATGGCAAAGAATAAATCTCTCAGATACATTAAGAGGAAAATTGCTATAAACGTTGTCATAAGAATAGACAGGAAATGGTCGATAAATCTCTCTATGCAAATTAATAAAATTTTAAACCAACAGCTCTATCTGTAAGGGACTATAAAAAGATCTCACGTGTGAGGAGAATTTAATGAATCGTTTAAGACGAACAAAAACAATTCATTTTGGTTAATCCAAAGGTCTCCTGGATCAGAAGAAGAGACTCGCATATCCTCTCGGTGGATAGAACCATGTTCATTCCGGACGAAAGGTTCCAAGCGATTTTCGGGGAGGCGGACACGTGGACGCTGCAGGTGAAATACGTCCAAGCGCGCGATGAAGGCGAGTACGAGTGCCAAATCTCGACCGACCCGAAGAAGAGTCACATCATCAAGCTCAACATCGTCGGTGAGCGTCGCGCGGAAGGCGATTACTCTCGAAATTTTTGAGAGTGGAATCTTAATGAGTACTTTCTAAATCCTTTGGAATGAAATCTCACTCCAAAAGACTGAAAATTGAGCCAGTCTTGAAAAAAGAGTGAAAATATTTTCACTCCTAAACAAGAGTGGAATGAAGTCTCCAAAAAAAGGAATGAGATTCCATTCCTTTCGAGTGAATCTCACTTCAAAAGAGTGGACTCTTACTCTAAAAGAATAAAAATCTGCCATTCTTGTTTAAGAGTGAAAAATTTTCACTCTTTTTTTAAGACTGTCTCAATTTTCACTCCAAAAGATTTAGAGAGTAGAATGTCTATGAATAAACGGAGAGAATTTTCTTTTAAAATTTAGCCTAAAAATACACTGAAAAAAATGCATGTAATTTTACATGGAAATTACATGTTTATAACTGGAAAATTACTTAAATTACATAAATATGATTGGAAATTTACTGGAAATTGTAAATTTCCAATCATATTTAGGTAATTTTCATAAACATGTAATTTCCATGTAAAATTACATGCATTTTTTTCAGTGTATGGTAGTTGTGGTACAATACAATATTTAAAAAATTTTTACCATGCACTTCAGTAAAATTAATCAAACTTATTTTATACTTTATTGTAGTTTTATCAATGAACAAGAGAGATTTACATCAATTCTTCGAAATACAATGTTGTCCCACGACTATCATATTTTCAGAATAAACTCTAAGAAAAATTCTCTCCGTGTAGAAATCGCATAAAACAATTTTAAAATATCTTTAAAAGTTCTTTAAGAAACATCTTTGAGATATTTCATAAAGAACTTTGAAAGATATCTTAAAGTTTTATTATGCGTCGATTTTAGACATTCCACTCATTGAGATCTCGCTCTAAAGAATAAAAGTTGAGCCAATCTTGAAAAAGAGTGATTCAATTTGCAATCTTTAAGAATGAGATTTCACTGGTCAGAGTGAGATTCATTCTAAAAATTTTAGAGAGTATATTAAGCCAATTATTCGTCGTTACAGTGCCAAAGATCGAGATCTTGGGGGACCGTGACATGTACGTGAAAACCGGAAGTACAGTCGCAATACGATGCGTAATAAAGCAGTCCCTCGAGGGTCCGTTCTACGTCTTCTGGTACCACGAGGGTGATCGCGTTCTAAATTATCAGCTGGGCAAGATCGACATTCAGACGAAGAGGATCGAGCAGGATACGGTGAGCAGCCTAGTGATCCACAACGCGAGACGGGAGGACTCGGGTAACTATACTTGCAGCCCGAGTAACTTGGATAGCGCGAGTGTGCAGCTGCATGTGCTAAACGGTGAGTGGAACATTTTATCGCTTTGGGACAAAAGTTTGTAAAAAATCTTTCCCTGAACGTAAACTTTTGTGTTACATGTGATTCACTGTTTACGATTCACTGTTTACTTTTTTCACACAGACTTTTAAAAAAAGCACTTGATAATTAACTCATGTAATGATAACATCAACTTTTACCAAAAAAGTACCTGATAATTATAATTATATAGCGATAATAAATGCGACATGAATACGAGATTACAGTCTTTGTTGCAACGTGTCTAATCTCGTTTATCGTTATTTTATTAGATACAAATATACATATGTTCGATGATTTTCTAGGGGAACACCCCGCGGCTATACAGAGAGGCATCAGTTCAGCACCAGGTGGCTGTCCCACTCTATGGTGGCTGGCAGGTGTGGTGACACTGTACTCGAGTCACGGCAGTCGTCTATTCGTCCTCGTTCTTCTGATCCTTATGGTTCTCTACTCGAAAAATCCATCTTACTTTGCGACGGAACGATAATCAGGCAAGACCGCAAGGATGGTATACGCGTATAATCGATTATCTCCTGCTACGAGACCCCGACTACCTCGAGAGAAGAGATCCTCGATGTTGCGGACCGATTTTCGGAGATCAAGGACAAAAAGGGCGAGGATGAAAAGATTAGGAAGATAGAGGGTAATATACGAGATAAAGAGAAAGAGAAAGATCGGAGGAAAGAATAATGATCCCGGAGGTAGTATGTTTTTTCTCCGTACGCGTGAAGTAAGAGTTAGAGGTTCATCTCGATTATCGAGACAGTGATCCGGCCGTTAGAAATTAGGAATTAGTTTATTATATAAATTCTTGTTAAATTGCTGCGAGAAGCTATACGTGCTGGAGAAGCTACGAAATTTTTGACGTTGTCGGAAATATAAATTAGGTCGAGCTTGAACAACGGGTAGTTCGTGAACGTCTTTCAATTGAAAACCCGAGGCGAGCTGATAATTTTATTTATTAAAATTTATTAAATCTATTTATTTATGTCTATTAGAGTTATGTGTCTATTAGAAATTTTATCCAAATAAAATAACATTATTATTTTCTTGTTATTATTGACAAACTATTACAACAAGATATTATTGAGTTTACTTTGTTTTCTAAAGACGTATTTTACCATTTTACATTTATAGAATTGTTTCACGTATTTCCCGTTTGTTTAGCCCGACAAGGTAGAAAGTTACGAAATCTCAAAAAATGGACGCCCGAAAAACGATCACGATCGCGAGATCCTATCGCGAGGGCGTTGGGTGGTTTCGTAGCACCCATTACAGGAACAAGAAAGCGATAACGTGACGAGAAATTTATAGAAGGAAGAGAAACGATGGTAGAGGAAAGAGGAAAGAGCAAGAAAGAAAACGAAAAAAGAAATGTCGATGAGCGCCGACGTAGAGGAAGAACCGTCACGAGACTGAGAAAAAGCAGAAAAACTTCGTCCGCGCCGCTCGAATAGAATTGAAACTTGTTCGATGAATTTTCGAAATGCGATGTAATTAATTATATTCGATAGCGACCGATTACAACAAAGCGTGTCTATACTTGACGTCTACCACGTGATCTGGGATCGTCCTGAGACCGAGCGATCTCGGCCATCGTCTCTTAGACGATTTGTCGATACGCGCGCCGCGAAAAACGATTAGAATCTTCTTTTAAATTTACCTGTCGGAGAGACTATTCCAAAATCGTATGAAAAGGCAAGCTTGACAAGATGGAGATAGGAACAGAGATGACAAAGTGACCCTATTAAGAAATAAAAATGTTATCGCTATTAATAACATGGCGATAGTACTCGAGGTAGAGAATTCATATCAAATACGACAAAGTTTCGCCCATATCAAACTTCATAGCCACGATATTTCGAATATTTCCAGCCAAATTTAAAACGAGTAGTTGGAATAAATCATTAAATTTATACGGAGAATTTTTATCCGGGCTTATCGATCGCGCGAGTGAGATAAAACGGGATATCATGTTGGAAATTATCATTCCCTTTATAAATACTTGACCGTTGTCAAAGGCGATAGGTGTCTCGAGACGATCCGCGATGAAAATTTTGGTAATTAAAGCGCATTGAGTATACACACGTCGATCAAAATATATCATACATCCGCACATGCACAGGCTAAACTCACCGCGACGCGGGCCGTACAAACTGCCGCATTTTCCACTGACTGCTCCTTTACGCGTCGTCTCGCGACTTCGGAAATATCACGTTTTTTTATAGAAAATCGAAGATTTCCCTTTAGGAACGTAGAAAAATTAAATACTGCCGATACGCTCAAAAATTAAATACTGCCGATAAAGTCTCTTTTTAATCCTGGGAAGTCCTCCCAAAAATATCACAACCTTTTCTATATTACACGTTTATTCACGTTGGACGGCGTTAAAGGAAAGGAGATATTTGTTTTGTATGAAATTTACATAAACGTTATTACGTAGTAATGACACGACAAATTTCACTCGTATTCTAAATCCCATTCATATCCGCCATCGATGAATTTCTTTATCTTTTATGAGTCGTCAAACGTCTCATCATAGCAATAGGCGAGTACTTTCGATAGTTACTTTTTGATAACGCATGTATATTTCCACTGCGGTCTTTTGGCCCGCGGCGTGTCGCCTTTGAGCATGATCGGTTGTATAATTTAGCGGATGAGCGTAACGGCTTTCCGGTGGGCGCCTCGTGCGCCTCCTGTGAATTTGCTTTCTTCTCGCAAATACTAGAGGGGAGGGGAGGGGAAGGAATAATGTTTTTTATAATATTATATATAAATATATATATATACAAACGAACAGAAATATATATATGTATATGTGTACGCGCGCAAATACGTTGCACATGGGTGTTGAATATTGAACAAGTTTCAGCTCGCACGAACGAGGGGCGCATATAAAGTGACTAGAGCGTACGTTCTCGTTGAGAAAATTCTTGAGGAAATGTTTGAGAGATATCTGATAAGGAAGAGGCAAAGGAAGGAGGAAGGGAGAGAGAAAAGAGAGACAGAGAGGAAAAAAAAGGGAGAGAAGAAAATATACCGTAGAAACACGAGGACAGCGGCAGGAGACGAACGATTCGTTAGAATATCTACGATTCATGTGATTGTAAATAACGTAACATAGCGTATAAATAACGTAACGTTAATTAATGATATGCCGTACGTGTTACGCTAAAGAAACAAGAAAAAAATAAACTAAATAACGTTACTGTGTAATTTTTCGGATCGTAAAAACGCGCATTGGAAATGAGTCTGGCCGCCCGTGCTAACCGGCTCGGGAAATCATGCACGGTATCGGGAGGCAAGAGGAATTTCTTATGAGCTTTCTACAATAAGCCATTACCTAGGAGTCTTAAGCCGTAGGAAATTGACCAATCACAGTCGATTGGGAGAAAAATAATCGACTGTGATTGGTCAATTTCTTACGGCTTTGGATTTAAAGATAATATGGCTTATTGTAGAAGGCTTATTGTAGAAAGCCCATTACCGACAAGAAAGAGACGCCGCGCACACGTATACGATGTTCCCAGAAATCGAAATCGTCTGACGAAATTTCCGTTTCGATGAACATTTTATCGCAGGAATAACTCGCCTCACACGGCGTCGTCCGGATGATATTCGAAGGAGAGAGATTCTTAACGCGCCCGTCGCATTTAGCCGCGCACTTCCGGCGCGGATCGCCGGTCGGGCTTATCGTGGAGATCGGCGTGAAGACCACGAGGAGGACCGGAGGCGGACAACACGCCAGGCGTGCACGCTTTTCCGTGACGCGCCGTACGGTGTGTCCGAGTTTTTGGGACGAGAAGCGGAGCGCGCACGTTTCCCCCGTGATGAGCGCGCTCGTGGATAGCACGGGCCGGCCACACACGCGACTAGATGTAACACTAATTAACGCCTAGCAGTAAGCGAATTAACGGATATAAATGCAGATATATCGTCGGACGTAATAGCCAGGCGAAGCGAATGCGCGAGCGGCTGTGTGCGTGCGTGTTGCGCGACCGCGAGTGCGAGCGGTACGGTTGGTGCTTTAAAACCGTGTGAGCCTGTTTTTGCGCGAGTAAGCGACGGAAGAGAGACGCTGAGTACGGCGCGAAAGGGAATGAGAGAGAGCGAGAGAGAGAGAGAGAGAGAGAAAATATAAGCCACACACAAATACGTACATACAGACACACACACAATATACACGTACGAACAACACATACACATGATATACAGAGAAAAAGTTCGTTGGACTGACGTGTACTGAGACGTTGGTCGAATGACACATTTTAAGATTAAAAAAAAAAGGGTCGATCGGGGACGTGGTTACCTTCTTTATATCGTCTTCGCCTTTCCTTCTTCCCGCGCCTCGCGGGGCCGCTTCTAAAGCAACGAAGAAAAGGACTGAAAACAGTCCTCTGTGAGGCCGCGGTTAAACTTTATTACCCTTTTCTCTCTTCTTCAACGCGGGCCTCCCCCTCGCGGGGTGGAAGAAGGAACACCGCGTTCGTCCCCGTCGCCCTTTTGCTTCAACGCGAGAAAGGGGAAGTAATTTAAAGAGAAGATAGCAGGAGAGACGGTGGGACGGCGAAAAACCCAGTCAAGAGAAACGTCGTCTTATGATCTAATTATAACGTCGTAGAACAACATTAAAATTTTTGTACCAAAATCTATCTTGTAGTCCTTAAATGTCGCGTCACTTCATTTTCCGTTTCCGTTCGACGTTGCCGATCGCGGACTTACTCTATTTATTCTTAGATTTTTTTTTTTGCGAAATACACATCGAGGGAGCGAATGAAACTTGCCGAAAACACCCTCTCGCAAATTCTTCAATCGCTGCGTTAAAAAAACTCCCGGACCGTCGTAAGTGCGATCGTACTCATTTCTTCCTCGCATATTTCGCATGCTCGAATAAATCAACTTCTTGCGTGCCACTGTTTCACGTTTCATAAAGCAAATCCATGAAGTAGAGCGCGAGAACGATATGATTACTAATCGCGGTGCGGGAGTTTTCAAGAAACTGTCTGATTAATATAATGAGCGATCCGCGCCGAACGTAAGAACGCGTGCCGATTCCCGAGAGCGATTACAAATCCCGAGGTGTAAACGTAGAGGGTTGTTAACGGTTTTGACCTGGACTGTCAGGATTTTAAGAGTCTTGTTCGATGGTCGGTTGAAAAGTCAAACGTTATTATTTAAATGTATCCAATTAATAAATTAATTTACATCATGCAAGAAAATTTATAACCAGAGTTGGCGGTTTTTAGCGACTTTAAGCGCGTACTATATAATTTCAGAATTATATCGCAAATTTTATTCCTTTTTGCGTGGATATTTACGTAACGTTTTCTTATATTTATTCAAAGAATATGTTTTATTGCAATAAATATTAAATATTTTTTATTTTAACTTGTTAATTATGTTAAATGTGTTAATAAATTATTTAACGAATGTTAAATGCGATATATGCGAAACGTATAGTTTAATTTTCTGTTCAATAATAACATATATTTTATATTAAACATAATAATTTATTGTCTTATTCAATCAAACTCTGTTTTTAAAATTGTTTAGAAAATGATTGTAAGTAATTTTTTATTAAATTTTATATTTAATTTTTATGATTACTATTTTTGTTCGATTAGATTTTGATTCTAAAGAGCAAATATCTAATTTAGACTTTTGAATCCTCTAGATGGACACCTTGTTTCGAGAGTGATGCTTGTGACCGTCCTGACAGTACGATGTGCTCTTACGTGTAAATAACACAAGTTAGGTGTTCTTTCCGAGATAATAGGCTATATCTAAGAGGTACGAGCTATACGACACCGACGCCGTTGTCGTCGTCGTCGTCGTCGGAAGGATGAAAGATGAGTGGGACGCGGTGACCCAGAAATAGATCTTTATCGAATCGAAGATTCCAATTCCGACGTGATCC